GTGTATGTGATTACAAGATTTGCCAATTTCTGTCACATAACGACTTTTCTTTTTAATCAAAATTTGTCATTTTACCAATACTTATAGACGTGTTATTATTGCGTGGCTTGAATAAGAATCTTCTTTGTACATGGGCTATTACTGCGTCTATAATATCAGCCTCATTATGTAGTAGTTGGCGGAATGAGAATTGGTAAGGGAAACCGAAGTAGTCGGGGCAAACCTGTTTCGAAGTCTCATAAACTTATAGGCCTCTACGACCTGTTATAGATAAAGTTTTACCTTATTACCTCTATATATATGAGCCTCATAGATCAAATATTTCGAAGGAACGCCGCCCACCAATGACGCGCACAGTCTGTATCATGTAAGCCTAATATCTAATTCCCACTAGCTGCTTTTGAAAAAAACGACGAAATTCGATTTCAACTGAATATAAAGTTTGAAGTAAATCTAGCCAAAATTAAATTATAACTGTTGGATCATTGTGGATATGACGCCATGCCTTACCATGAAGACTGAGGCAGCAGATTCCCCCGAAATTTTCATATGTATTTATCAGACTTCATATCTTCATAATTAACACCGTAGTAAGACAATCGAATATCAGAAAATTAAATATTCCTGGTGCTTTCTTCTACAGACAATCAACACAAAATTCCATCGAAGTCTGTGGAGTAGTTTGAGATGGAAAGTGTGAATGAACGACCTCCACATTATGCGTCTTTTTACAGGAAAAAAACACACTACTACTGTTTACTGCATATTGCCGTTAGAAGAGTAACTCTGTTTCAATGAGTATTGGAAAAATTCGACCTTATATATTCTTCTGCGGTTGGAAAGTTCATACTCCCACCTGTGGTGCTGCAGCTGTAAATGTATTCTCATGGTAGTGCCAGGAGACAGGGTGATATATGATAAAACAGAAGGAATGAAAGAGGTGGTTACTAATTGCTGTGAACTAGAGGGTTCGCCGTGGAAACTGTCCTGAAAAATAAATACTCATACGCTCTCTGTCCTAGGAGGCACGCGTTAGCGTAGTTGGTTGAGGCACTATGCTGCAAGCCGGAAAGTCGCGAGATCAATTCCCGTTGAAGTCACTGGATTTTTAAATTGACCTAATCCTTCCAGCAGCAATATATCCATGGAGTCGACTCAGCCTCTAACAGAACTGAGTACCTGAAATCTTCCTGAGGGGTAAAGGGCCCCCGGGGTGTAAAGCTGACAACCTTACTGCCATCTGTGAGCCGATTTTCTAGATACAATGTGGGAACCTCGACGTCTCACAAACCTATGGGTCTCCAAGTCCTGTTACGGGGATATCTTTACTTTTTTTATTATCCTTCTCTTGTCTTCTTCCTTCCTTCCTGCTATTCTCTTCTGTAGTGATTTCTGTTCTTATTCCTTCCCTCTTGCGCCTACTTTCCTTATTTTGAAAAAAAAAAAAAAAAAGTGTAGGCTTATGAGATTGCCTTGTTGTGTGTTTGTGTATCCCCTTAATGTCATTCCGGCGACAAGAAAGAGTTTTTGGAGGCATCGTTTTTATGCGGTCAATGTCACATCAGAGGGGGGTTAACTATTAGTTCTTCCCAGAAGTTCTTGTTTTTTTTTTATTTCTCCTTCGATGTTTCTCTCATATTCACATTCTCTATAATATTCACGTGAGATATTCCCACCAAATTTCCCTACAATTTCTATATTGCTGGTCTTCCTCATTATGCTACATGCCCACATTACCCCAACGCCCCTTAAGGTGAGCCGGAAGAGCTAAAGTGACTGGTTCCGGTATGAACGAACTGGGTTCAATTGCCGGTGGGGACAGGGAAATTCCCCTTTTTCCACCGCATCAAAATTGACTTTGAGTACGATCTAATACATATCCTGTGTAAACCGACTCCGTTTTGTAGGGTGTAAATCGGACGGAGCGTGAAGCTAACTATTCATCTCCATCTACATTGCTGAGTATTACGTTTTTGGACATTATCCATCGTCTTGTCTATTTCTTCAACCGTCCTGTTTCCTTTTTAAAAACACAACGTTTCGGAGACTGGATTCTGTCCCCATTCTCAGGTAAAACCTACTCAATTGGGCCCAGTAGATAGAGCTAGTCCCTACCTCCGGACCCGGACAAGACGATGGATAATGTCCAAAAACATAATACTTGTAGCAATATACCATCGTCACAAATTTTTAGATCTTATGTACTTTGCTGAGGTTTTAAAATTAGTTGAATATGCCTCTACTCTCTATATGTCTTCATGACTTCGTGTTTAAGAATAGGTGAAATTGTTTCTTGAAGAATATTAATGCTATAGGGTAGTTCAAGAAGTTGTATATGAGTATCCAGTCGGGAATAGATGATAAAGGATAGTCTTACATCTGGTTGTCCTTTTGGTAAGGATAACAGTATTTCGGGGCACGCGGTAGCGTAGTTGGTTGAGGCACTATGCTACAAGCCAGAAGGTCGCGGGTTCAAGTCCCGATGAGGTCATTGGATTTCTACAAATGACCTAATCCTTCCAGATGCACTATGGGTCGACTCGGCCTCTAACAGAAATGAGTACCAGGAATCTTCCTGGGGTGTAAAGGGGAGCCGACGTGTAAGGCTGACAATCTCACAGCCATCTGTGAGCCGATTGTCTAGATAATGTAGGACCCTCAACATCTCACAACCCTATGGGCCTCCACGGCCTGTTACAGGGATATCTTTACTTTACTTTACTTAACAACTTTTCAGCGTAAGTCATATTCGATTAGCAAAAACTGTACACAGACCTCGAAAATGGAGTGATTTTGCAGAAAGAATGCGACAAGCAGTAATATGAGACAGCAGAAACCGTGTGTTCCATTTTATTTGCAATTCTTATATACGAAGTATTCTTTAGTTGAGGAATGTAAACTGGAGGTACGAATTACTTTCTAGGAAACATAGCTCTTTCTCTCTCTGTGTCTTGACACAATCAAACTCACTTCGCCGCCTCATACAACGCGCTGTCAGCTTATGATATATACTAGTTATGAGTTTGGTGTTGATTTCTTGCACATAAATAAAATACAGTATCATGACGCTTGGGGCGAATTAAGATGGCGTTAGTCCCGGTATGTGAATGAGGAATCCCCGCTAAGCGACACTCAGCTGTTTGTAACATGTTAACGAGATTGAAGACAGAATCTGACATGTACATCACCAACCATGAAATTATAAACAGCGTACTAACAAATGAACGTCTATTGTGCTGATGTGTTCGAGGTCAGGTGTGTCAGCGACTGCCGGACGGGGTGATAAATTGGAATTTTGTGGGGGTTAGTCTCCAGTGACCTGTTTTCTTTTGGACTGACGACAGCTCAGTCGATACAGTGACTTGGCTACGGGCTGGATAACCGAGAAATCGAGGTTTCTTCCCCGGCAGGGGGGACAGATCTATCCACAGGGTTCAGACCGGACCTTGGGTCCTGCTAAAGAGTAAATGGGGTCTCTTTCCCTTGGGGTTAAGCTATCGGAGTGTAAAAGCTGGCCAATGACTTCAGTCTAGTGCTGAGGTTAAGAATTGGTGCTAGAGGGAAAGAGATATTGTTTTCAGAGCATAGCGTTTATGTCACATTGAGCTGAAAGTGTATATAGAACATGTTTATATATTTAAACTTTAAGGAAAAAGCCACCCTTTAGGGTTCCTTGAAATGATATGAAGAAAAATATACTTGTAATTATGTGAAGCACTGTCCTTCATCTCGACTATTCCTTATTCCTACTCCATACATGTTTACCCACATTATATCGATTTTAATCGAACCACGAGAGAGGAACCTGGAATAGCGATAAAGTTTTCAAATTTTATTTGTGATGTACCAGATTTGAATCCTATCAGATTTAACGATTATTCAGAATAAAAATTTTCTTGGTTTTCTTCACTTACTAGGGCTACTACCAGAGATAGAATCTTAAAATAGGTCACGATCGATCTCTTTCAAAATTTTAATTACTTGGCGTTCGTTATCACCTATTTATTTATTTCAACTCCAATACAGGCAATTTAGAAACCTCTTGTCAAATAATTTAACATTAAATAGCTAGACGGACAGACGGACGGACGGATAGTTAGTTGGATGGATGTACTGCTCAGATTTTAGAGCTATATTTTCGTCTTCCTATATCTTACACTCCGAGTAGAATCTACGGGTATATTTCTTCTTTCTTGACGTTCTAATAAAGTGGTTAGAATGAAGCATTCTTTTGCCATTGACTCTCACTTAAGCACTTGTTCTCTTGTCTCTCCAGTGGGTCTAGTTTTTAACAACGTAACTTCGATTTTCGTTCAAAGAATAAGACTATTAAATTTTTCGTTGTTCTCTTCTAACACAGTTTCTGTTGCTTATAGATCGACAGACGAAAAATGTGAAAACTCTTCTCTTTTTTCCATTTTTTATTGCTAGTGGGGGGGGGGGCTAAGTCCCTTGTACTGCGGCCACTTCTGGCCCATTGTACCAGCCCCAGACGATAGGTGAGGGTGACTGTGGAGCAATTGGTGGAATGAAGATTGGCAGGGGAAACCGAAGTACTCGGAGAAAACCTGCCCCAGCGCCACTTTGTCCACCACAGATCCCACTTGACCAGACCCGGGATCGAACCCAGGCCGCCACAGTGGGAAGCCAGCGAATAACCGCTTGAGCTATGGCGCGGCCATTTTCTTTCTATAATCCTTCTTTTGTTTCTCTTACCTCTCTGTCTGCTCTCTTCGAATACCTGACTGAACTACCTTATTCTGGGTCATCCGGCAGGTCTCATTAACTTCTTATACAAACTTAATATTATGTTGTTTGTACCTGTCTAAATTAGCTAAAAGCCTCTTTTTTCTCTCTCAGTGTATAAGGACTGGTCGTATGGGATGAACCCCCGCGCATAACATATGGCTAGTTCCATTTTCAAAAATTGCAGGTCACCCGCTGCTACTTTTACCTTTTAGGAAGGTATTTTAACCCTTCTTCATTTCTTTTTCTTTCAGTGCTTGAAACTGTCAAAGATTTGTGAGGGAGTGCAACCGCTTCAAGCAGATGTTACCACAGCAATTTCAGTGTTCATGAAAAATGCAGCTACAAATTTCACGTTGTAATCTACGTCAGGTCAGTGCAGTAACATAATTATTAAGTAAAAATTTCTTTGTAGGACTTTTAAGCAAATCTCCCAAAATAAGGAATGAGAGGACCAATTCGTGCTGCCAATTAAAATCTATTTCTTCAAACTCGGCAGAAAGGCGTATGGGTAGATTTACCCTTACGTATAAAGTAAAAAAAAATCTCCGTGATTTTAGTCCGCAAGGGAACTATACCGACCGAGCGACCGCCGCTTGTCGGCGAAGTTAGTGTAAAGTAAACGGTTCCTATAATATGATGTTTTAAGTTACGGGTGGAAAATCTGTTAGGAAAAAAATGAAATGAGTAATTCTAACATCAATCAAATGTAACTTTTTAAAGCGAACAGTATTAATGGAAACTGAGTAAGTAAAGTAAAAAGTAAAGCTATCCCTGTACCAGGCCGTGAACACCCATAGGGTTGTGAGATGTTGAGGGTCCCACATTATCTAGACAATCGGTTCAAAGATGGCGGTAAGGTTGTCAGCCTTACGCGCCGGCCGTGCTCTACTCCCCAGGAAAATTATTATTTAATTCCTGGTACTCATTTCTGTTAGAGACTGAGTAAACCCCAAGGCCCAGTGCGGCTCGAAGGATTAGGTCAACTGAAAAATATCCAATGAACTCATCGGGATTTGAACCAGCGACCTTTCGGCTTGTAGCGTAGCACCTCAACCACTATAATGGGAACTGAAACCACACAATTTCACATTCTGAGTATTTCTGAGTATTTTCCCCCTTGACTTGATAATTATAAGGATACCAGATGAGTAGCAGTATGATGAACTCTCATGCTTCAGCCTTTTCCTCTTAAAGTCAGGCTATAAGTCTGTTGTTTCCAGAATCAGAGTCATTCAATCTAACAAAGACGGCCTGCAGTTTCTCCTTTCGGCTTGCATTTACTGTAGCCCAAGAGATAAGCTCGACGCTCCAGTAAGTTGCTAGTTTCACTCTGGCTGTCCGATCGAGGAGCAGTCTCCTTAAGGCTTCGAACAAGCCTAATTTTGAAGAAAGCCATCTTCTTGGATATGACGCCGTGTATATAGTGTGTTAACCGACGTTTCGGATGAACGTATCGCCTCCATCTTCAAGGTAGAAAACAAGAAGAAATCCTTGAGCCAACAAGCGTGAGCAGGTGCAACAGACTACACTGAAGATGGAGGTGATAGGTTCCTCCTAAACGTCTGTTAACACAATATCTACACGACGCCACATCCCAGAAGACTGCTTTCTTCATACCCACCGCCATGAAAACCTCAGATCTTCAAAGCCTAATTTTGCCTAATTTTTTCTTTACATCAGTTCTCATTTATAATAATGTAATTAAGTGAATAAAATGAGTTTATTGAACCATGTTTCTTAAAATATGTAAATCTGTGTCTACATAGTACCAAGCTTTTGCGGCAGACATATTAGTAATATACATAACTATTTTCATCATTTCAAATCAATTTAGCTACTATTGCTACTGCCTCTAACACCATCGCTATTGAAACATTTTTATTTCTCTTTTCTCAGTCAATTTTCTAATCGTATATCTTCAGTTAATATAACCTCAACTAGTGTTTATGCCCCTCTAGCTCTATTCTCAAATTAGCATCTAGTTTTGAATAAGTGCTTTCCAACTTATTTTAACTTCGCTATGTTTGTACAGTTTATAGTTTTCTTGTATGCAAAGTCCTCATTTATGCTTAACCATTTACTGCATACAAACTCTTCTTTCCACCTTTCTTCTATCCTACATACAGATGTCTTTGTACGTATTCCATTCTTAGACACTCATAATTTATATTCTTCCATCAAGAGCCAAGAGTCAAAATTAAATTACGTGTAAAACTATAACTTGAGACACATTTGAACTTCTAGGGTTCTAGGTATGATACTTAAGGCTAAAATACTCTAGAAATAAGGAGCTCAATCAAGGTAGCTATTTCTTCCCATAATTCGCTTAATAACACTGATTTTATTGTCAGAGGAGAGCCCTTGTTAAACAATTGGAAGGATGTATGATTTGAGGTTTTCACGGCGTGACTATGAAAAAAGTAGTCTTCTGGGATGTGGCACCGTGTAGAAGTGGTGTTAACCGACGTTTCGGAGGAACGTATCGCCTCCATCTTCAAGGTAGAAGGAAAAATAAGAAAATCCGCAAGCGAAGAGACCGTGTGGATTTTCTTATTTTTCCTTCTACCTTGAAGATGGAGGCGATACGTTCCTCCGAAATGTCGGTTAACACCACTTCTACACGGTGCCACATCCCAGACGGCTGTTTTCTTCAATTGGAAGGATAGCCACGAATGTCAGGGCCGCGGAAAAAGGGTTGAGTGAAAGTCTCGGGGCGGCATATGGCGGCATCTGCAGGCTACAGATGCACCTCAACTGCCATATGGCAGACTCCTTCCCCCCCTTTACACATTCATATCGAAGCCAGCTGGCCCCAACTAAGAGCAGAATTGTAGCAAAACGTAATCTCATTCCACTATCACTCTATGTTTCCGTTTCGAGCGAAGATGGCGGCTTGCAATTTGAATCAGAATCAAAGTAACTTGAAATAGTAGGAACTGTGTAAGAAAAGGTAATTTATTATTTATTAGTGTAACATAAACCTAGATTGTACGGTGCTACAATCCAGAAATCCGCAATCTACATTCTTCATCACCGGGATAGTCACGAAGCTCGCACTAGTAGTTTCTTGGTAGCAGCTGCCAACAGCGGACGTTCCCCTTCTCTGGATTCCCGAATTGTCCCAGGCCTCAGCTACAAGCTTCTCATTTTTCACAACTCTAAATATCAACTGACTCCAATACAAAGTCAATATTATATTGGGACCGACGGTCAATAGGCCAGTCTCTCTTGGTGCCAAACTCCCGTCTGGGACCCCAAGACAAGATTTGTATTGCTGTCAGATAGTGCGGCTCTGTCTTTTACAATTGCTATTGGCCCTCACCATCTCAGTCATTCTCGGGTCCGAGACCTCCGGGACTCAAGACTATATTTTACTGTCTCAGATTCTAGACTCCCCCAACCTGGAAGGTCAGGTCAATATATCCCCCAGGAGCAGGATGGTCCAGTTATTCCCCAGGGACTGGGTTCCCTTTCCGCCACCTCTTACGACTCTCAGTTCCCTTGTAACGACTGTTGCACTGTCACTTGTTAACACAGCTGTTACTTGGCAATGGGTCTATTTCTTTTTATTGCTAGTGGGACTAAGTCCCTTGTACTTCGGCCACTTCTGGCATATTGTACCAGCCCCTGATGATAGGTGAGGGTGATTGTTGAGCAACTGGTGGATTGAAGATTGGCAGGGGAAACCGAAGTACTCGGAGAAAACCTGCCCCAGCGCCACTTTGTCCACCACAAATCCCACTTGACCAGACCAGGGATTGAACCCGGGTCGCGGCGGTGGGAAGCCAGCGAGTAACCGCTTGAGCTATGGCGCGGCCTTGGCAATGGGTCTAAATGCTACAATGTATTTAGTTCTTATTTCCCATTCATGTAACATATCCAGGCATTTCCATTCTTCTTGATTTGATCAGTACTGCACGTAATTGAAAACTACAAGTTTAATTTTTTTTCCTTTTATAATTCTTTCATTCTTCTTGTCAACCGTAATTTCACAAATTTTCCCAGCCATTTTCCTCACATGTCTTCAATTTGTGTTCTTAATGAGCCTATAGACATGTGCCACAACAACAAAAAAAAAACAAACTCCGTGATTTTAGTCTGCAAGCGAACTATACCGACCGAGCGACCGCCGAATGTCGGCGAAGTTAGTGCCAACTTTTGCGGATAGAGAGTGTCGTGTCGTCAGCGCAACGAACCCCCACGGTTGTTAATTACGGTTTTCTAGACCGGACATATGCCACAACCAGCGTTTAAAACTCCATGACGCGAGAAACTTGAGGATATAAACGATTAAAGCAGTTAATTCCTGAAAGCCTTAACTGTTTGGAATACTTATTAGAAATATTCCTCCGCGTGGCAGCGTAAAGGGGACGTGTGAGGCCGTTTGAGTGTTATGAGTAACCGCTCCAAATACTTTGCTTTCCCCCTCTCGTTTTGCTGACGAGGAACGGGCGGATTGGGATCTGGCCGCGTGTGACGGTTACTGACGTCCAGGTCGCGACGCGGTAATCATAACCTGTCAGCGTCCATCTGAGGTGACGGAACACTTCACACCCTCTCGGTTCCTTCGCGTACCCTCCTTGCCGCAAGAAGGGATCAAGTCACATCCACATATCAGCTCATACAGGACGTCTATTTCTAACTTACGATACAGAAATTTCTGTATGAGATTGAAGTACGTGTGTGATGGTTAGACTAAGAGACTATATAGCTCAGTCGGTATAGCGATTAGTCTACGACTGCACAACGGAGGAATGGGGTTCGATTCCCGGTAGGGAGAAGAGACTTTTCTCCATTACGTCCAGACCAGCTCTGGAGCGCATTCAGCCTTGCATACAAAGGGTACCACGGGACTGTTTACTTGGGGTTAAAGCGACAGGGGTGTAAACTGACCACTCACATACATCTAGTGTCGAGGTTGAGAATGGTGGTGTTATACCTCCAGTCCCCTATTAAGCTCAAGGGTAACATATTTTGAGGGTTTAGGTTGTGGTCATCCGGTTACCATATCAGTTAGTCTGATAAGTCGTTACTAACATTTCGGAGGAATGTGCTGTCTCCAATCTTTTAAATAGTGGCACTATATCCGTGGCATGTAGTCCGCAAGCTAACTATACCGACCGAGCGACCGCCGCTTGTCGGCGAAGAGAGTGCCAACTTTTGTGGATAGAGGGTGTCGCGTGGTCAGCGCAACGAATCCCCACGGCTGTTATTTTCGGTTTTCTAGACCGGAGCCGCTATTTCCTTGAAATAGCTCGTCAGTTATCAACATGAGGCTGAGTGAACCCCGTTCCAGACCCATAACTTCTCAGAAAATCTGGTAGTGCTTGGAATGGAGCCCGGGACCTCTGGATCTATGTCCAGGAACT